TACCTGAAAAAGATATAATCTCTCAATGTTCTAATCTCTCAATGTTCATCTCAAAGTGTACCAAATTCATGCATTTAGCTGTTGAAATTACTTCTTTTTTTTGCCGGGGAGAACGCCCCCAGACCCCCCTAATGACTTTGAGCCCCCAATGTCTTCAAATCCTAGAAATGCCCCTGAGGGGAAGTGGGGGAGATCCCCACCCTACCGTGACCACTAATTTTTTTAATGAGTCATCTGAGCTGGATGAGAAAGAAAAAGTTTGATTTGCATCTGCTGTCAAACTCAGCATTGGTACATAGCAAGCTCCAACTGCCATGCAAATGGATTCAAATGAGGGATGATAAAGTGCGGGTCAAAGGGTGAGGGTTAAAGACAGTATGTTTATGTCTGCCATGTCATATGAGTCACAGTGTGACGAGTACTGAGGATATGAAGAGGCAGGACGCAGACGCAGGAATTAACAAGGTCAACTCAAACAATGACAAAGAAAATAAACAAAGAGAGAGTACATGACACGATGCAAAAACAATCACACACAACATATTTCAGAACAGTCCAGGGCTAAATAGGGGTGGCGATGAGATGATGAGATGCAGGTGCGCTGGAGGTGATTAGGGTGCGTTGGGTTTCCATTCCAGTGTTGCCGAGGTGGTGCGCTCAGACCGGTGGCTCAGTACACCGGCGAATCAGAGCACCGGAGGGGAACAATGGGAGGAGACATGACACACAGTTTCATCCACATGAGAAGATTCTGAACCAGAGAGTACTAGTTAATATGAGAACCTGGATCTCTTCCTCTTGGTTACAGAAAAAGACAAGAAAACAAACAAGTGTGTGTGTGTGTGTGTGTGTGTGTGTGTGTGTGTGTGTGTGTGTGTGTGTGTGTGTGTGTGTGTGTGTGTGTGTGTGTGTGTGTGTGTGTGTGTGTGTGTGTGTGTCGTGTCGTGTCGTGTCGTGTCGTGTCAACATGTGTAATAGTGATTATTCCCTCCAGAATAAAATGTGAATTGCAGTTTACCCTAGCAGCAGCCGCACAGCTATGGAAATGATAAACTATGACATCACAATAGTAGCGGCAGTCATGGTGTGGACAATGGAGCTCTGTGAGGCACAGGAGCGGGGGCGTGGCATAGCTGGACAGAGGCTCCTCACACTGGAAGGACCACAGCAGCTGTCTGAACCGTTGTGTGTCTCCCTGCCTTCGCCCCACTCCCTCTCTCTGTTTGCCTCAAACGCTGGAACGCAAGGATGGAGGTGGAGAAGGAGGAGAGACCGAGAGAAAGAGATGGCTTGCACAGAATGAAAGACAAAGGCCCAATGGACAGAGAGCCCCTCTCTCTGTAGAGACACATGCAGGCATGCACACAAACACATGCATACACATGTTGACACACACACACACACTGTACACAATATATTCATCCTCTCTTCGACACCCCCACTACCCTCACACACTGTACCCACTGTTTGCTTCCTTCCCTTCCTTGCCATATAAACCTCCTTCCCTTTCTTACCATATAAACCTCTGGAGCTGATCTGTGTTTACCCTACCCTCCAAATGGAGTGCCATCCTCTTCAAACACCCATAAAGGTTTACTGGTCATAACAGAGAGGAGGGGATACACTCACTACTAATCTGAATTTCACAAACACATTGAGAAGGAGAAGGGATATCTATGACTGAGTAGAGCTCTGGTGTGAGGGAGGGTGAAGTTATGGCCATGAAGATTCATAACATGGTAGAACACCTGTGCAGTAAAATGAGTTTGACTGGCATTTACAGCAACTCAATAAGTGATTGTGCAAACAATGGATGAGCATCATTAAATGTGTATGAGTTGAGCTCTGAATCAACACAAAGCCCACCTGCCCTTCAGTTCATGTTTAATGAGAACAAAGGGAACAAAGCACATAGTACAATCCATGGAAATAGAATGAATAGAACGGGCTTGGAAGCTCTAACCCTGGCAATTTGACTGGTAAACTCATAGGTACACTCGCAATGGCTGCCTGGTATTGTGATGCAATAATTTCCATGGTACACTCTTCGAAAAAAAGGTGCTAACTAGAACCTAAAAGTGTTCTTCGGCTGTCCCCATAGGAGAACCCTTTGAAGAACCCTTTTTGGTTCCAGATAGAACCCTTTTGGGTTCCATGTAAAACCCTTTCCACAGAAGGTTCTACATGAAACCAAAAAGGGCTCTACCTGGAACCAAAAAGGGTTATCCTATGGGGACAGCCGAATAACCATTTTGGAACCCTTTTTTCTAAGAGTGTATTTTGGTTGACTCAACAAAACAGCACAGATGGATAAAAGCGTCTGCTAAATGGCATATTATTATATTATTATTGAAGCCCACTGGGCACAGACATCAGTTCAACGTCTAGTTTTGATTAAAATGTGGTTGAGTTGTCAACTGATGTGAAATCAATGTGAAATCTATGTCATCACATAGATTTTTTTGTTGTTGAAATGACGTGGAAATAATGTTGATTCAACCAGTTTTTACACTCAAAATGGCTGCCAGTCTCCATTCATCATTGAATTGAATGGCGATCCCCTTTCTATTCATTCTATTTCTATGGTACAATCCACCCAGGCTTAGGGCAAAGACAGTACCATATGAACATAGGCTAAAACTGCTTCTCTAATAGAAATCCCTGTAGGTGATGTCATGGTGACGTTGGCTAGCTAAGCTCATATATAGAAACACATAATCGGGTCTAATGGTCGTCTCTCGTGCCGAATGTGCAGGCCGTCAAATCAAAGGCACTCCTTCGATATAAAGTTGTTTTTGACAAAAATGAAAACATGTCAGTTTGTTACTTTCATGAGGTTGGAGTAATAACAGATTCAACTACTTATTACATTGGCTCGAATCTAGTTTGTGCCTTTAGATTTAGAGAAAATGGACAACTAATGAAGAATTCTCATTGACTTCTCAAACCCCAAACCCCGGCCTGGTCTGTTTCGCAAGCATTCCCGGAAGTGTCGTGCCTCTGGGTTTAGAAACTCTGTGCTTAGGGCCTCCAATATCTATTCAGCCTCGTTCATATTATGAATTTGCTTAGAGGACACAGGACTACCCAGATAGCACCTTTATAAGCTTTACATGATGGTGGTTAGGTAATAGAGGCCATAAAGCTAGATTTGAGGTTTCTCTACCCTACTGGTCTCCAGGTAGGCTACCATGAGGGTAGCCTCATATACCAATATATACAGTAAGCCTACTGCCAATTCTGTAGTTTAAATAGCTTGTATTATGCAGTATCTCATGTTATGGTAAAAAACAAAAAAACAAAAAACGACATTTTCATTACTTCACCAGCTGCATGACGGGAGTTAGGCCCTGACATGTCCCTGGTAAGGGGTGCATGAATGACTGGCCTGGATCCTGGCCCCAGAGGGTCATGGCCATAGGAAGAGAACCATGACCTTGCACAGTCATGACATATCCCACAGGGAGCAATTGGCCATGAGAGTGGAGTGGGATTCCCCTGATTTTCTCTTTAAATGTCCGTTAAACATGATTGAGATATGGATAGATATCAATCCATCGTCGTACAAAAGCCAGAAATATAACATGGTTGAAGTGCTTGTTTCTTTTAATCAGATTATAGTCCTTTGCGCTTTTCTCCATATACGGGCATTGACCGCCACCTGGTGGTCATAAACATACATCAAAATATGACACGTTTTTTTACAGCCTAAAATATTGCAACATTGTAACAAGAGAGCGTTTTTTTCGTTCACTATAGACAATCCAACAACCTTTCAAGAGCAGAATGCTACGCATCACAAATATCAGTTCTTACTTTCTAGATTTCCATAGATTAATTAACTCAGTGCCTTCCCGTGGATCATGGCTAGAAAGGATACAGTTTATGTCAAATTGACGTCTACAGTTGCATTTTTTTGTGCATTTTAGCTAACCCTAACCCTTTTCCTAACCTTAATCTAATTACCATAACCTGGTACGTTACTTATCCTAGCCTGCTGCCTAAATTCTCCAAACCTGCAACTAAAAGTAAATTCTGGTAATTTCTGACATAAGATGTATCCCTTCTAGTCAAAACCCTTCAAATGTCTTGGTCCTATTCGCGGTTGGTATGGAGACACTAAACAGGCAGCAGGGAGAAATGGCAATGTGAACATTGTGCAGGTGCGACCCTGCAAACTGGAGAACGCACCACATCCGATGAGGTGAGTGAAGTATACCTATACCCTAAAAATCGCTATCTGACAAATAGTTCCCCCCCATACGCATAGAACGTGCGCGCGATTTGGGAAATGTATTCGCGCAGTCGTGCAATCACTTTGATCATTGTGGCGTCACAGTCAGTGCAGTCGGTGCAGCGATTCTGGGGTCTTTAGAATCTTGGGTGTCTTGTAAACGAACAGCAAAATCACGAATACGGAAGTGTTGGTATGAGAAAGAGGTAGTCTATTTTTGTGTTTGTCTGGTCAATGACAAGGTTATGTTTTGTCATTAATGATTTTTGGTTAGTCCCTTCGCTAAAGTATCCTCCTGCTGTGTTGCTCTGTGAATGTCACATATATCCTATAGCTAGTCTATTTAGAACTGGGCCAGTGCTCAACTGTCTGATGAAGGTAGCAGGATAGGTGTAACACAGCCCTGTCCAGGGTGTAAGAAACGTGACAGGTGTAGCCAAGCTCCACTCAGCAATTTGACCCACTTTATAGTCCACTGCACCTACTAACAATCCACAGCACTAACAGGACACACACAGTGCATGCTACAATCAACTGTCTAGCATTAGATAAACAGTGAATGCAAACCTTTGCACAGATAGGACATGTGCTTGTAATCATGCATTGGATATTATAGTTCTCCACCATTGACACCTCACAATAACTTGTTAATTATTTTTACAGTTACTATGGCAAACTGATCAAGCCAAACAGTAGAAACTTTAAAGAAGAACACAGCTGGAGACAAAATGATATAGGGAGTAGATACCAGGGGTCCCTTGGCCAGTGAGGGCCAGTGTCTCTATGGAGGCCCCCAAGCCCCCAAAGTGTGTCCAGCTGGGGCAGAGGGAGGAGGGAGATCAGCGGGAGGAGAGAGATCAGGGCACTGATGGAAGCCCAACACCATGCATTGACAGTGGTGAGGGAAACCAGCTGTAATCATCTGTCTGCCAAAGACTAGGAACAAATGTGTATACTATATGTATGAAGAGTGTTGAATAAGTCATGAGGTCCCACTTGAAAATGTCAGATGGTCAAATGTTTGAATACAGAGGCTAGGTATTAAAATGCAGTGTGTTTGCTCTTTCGGTCCTGGGCTGAAGAGGTCAAGGTAGAGGCTTCAGTTACACTCCCAAGGGTTTGTGAACTTCATGACATATTTATCTGCTGTGTACATTAGGCCTACATGGAGATGGTGTTCTTATGTTTTTCCCTTAAATAGCGTCTAGCATGTCATGTTACTTACTTGTTAGTTAGTAGATTCTGTTCACTGTTCAGCGTCATTGTCACAGCAACGTGTTTTGGTGTGACTGAATACAGCACATTGCTCACCTTTGCTAGAACACTGTATTACTATATGTACCCCAAACCCCATGTAGATGGATGGAGTTGTGTTTTCCCTCCTCATATTCAGACCCACTAGGAGAGAGAGACCCCGGTAAAGACCAGCAGAGCAAAGCCCTGTGCCAGCGACACACTCAAATGTTCCTGAACCTCACCACAGAGAAGGGCCTACAGCAAATACCATGTAAGCCTACACACAGAACCCTTAGAAACGTAACACTGACTAGCCATTCATACTAAACACAGACTTGGCCTGGGTACCACTTATAACACTACCATCAACTAATAGCACATGAGAATACAGTTTGACTTGAATGCGTAGCTTATAAAGTGGTTATTACAGCCACTGTATCTGACTTGTGTGTCTATGTACGTGTGTATATCAGCGCCACCAGGTGAGGGAAGAGTGAGGCGCAGCTTGCTCAACCTGCCCATCATCAACCCAGAGAGACTGCGGACAGCCAAAGTACTGGTCGACAAAGCTGTAAAGGTAAGAATCTAAAATAGCACAACCCTCCAATAATGTGATACTTAAGGTAATGTCGATACTATTTATCTCTCTCTCTCTCTCTGTGTCTTTATCTCTCAGATGCGTATGGTATTTTCCATACAAGGTCCATACCCTGTGGTTCGGGCTTCCCTGAAGGCGAGGGGTTGGGTAGAGCGTCGCCTGCCGCGTCCAAACCAGCACTGGAGCCGGTGCCGTGGAGATGATGGGAATGATGCTGATGACAGTGATGATGACGATGGTGAGACAGGAGGGCCACTGCAAATCTTTTAGTAATTCATTCTCACCAGTTTGTTAACTATCATTGTCCATTAGCCTAAATACTAGATTGTAATCTTCCTCTATGCTCTGCTTAGACAGCCCAGAGGACAGAGAGGAAGACCCAGATGACATGTATGACCTCATGGTAATAGAACGGAAGTGTGTGTTTGTGTGTGGGGGGTGTGTGGGGTGGGGTGGGGGGTGTGTGGGGTGGGGTGTGTGGGGTGGGGTGGGGTGGGGTGGGGGGTGTGTGGGGTGGGGTGGGGGGGTGTGTGGGGTGGGGTGGGGGGGGTAGCACACAGTTTTTATGTCTTTCCCCGACCTTCTATCTTACAGTCTCGCATGGTGAGGAACGAAACGTCATATTTCTATTGGACGACACGTAGAGAGACAGTGGACAACCGCTCATTGCGAAAGGAGCAGATGACCAATCACTATGCCAAAGCAGGCACCTTCACCACCAAGGTTTGATGGCTTTCACAGGGGAGACCCTGAAAAGAACAAACTCTTTACCTTTTCACGGTCTTTGATCATTTTTATACTCACCTCACCTATGTAGGCTATGCCCGTCTCTCCACATTTTAATCTTCCATCACTCTCTCCATCTCTCTCACTCTCCATTTCTCTCTCTGTCTCAGGTTGGGTTGTGTGTGAACCTGAGGAACCTGCGTTGGTTTGATGCTGCAGACCTTGACTCCTTCTTCCCACGTTGCTACAGGCTGGGAGCAGAGGATGAGAAACATGCCTTTATCGGTCAGAATCGTCACCGCTCTCTTTCCCCTCCCCGCGTTCTGATATGCCTATTTCCCCCTTCTCTATCGGAATGCCTCACTTCTATAGTCTTAGGGGGATTTACAGTACTGCCTGTCCTTCTCTTTCATTTTCCATACTTTTTGGGGGGGGGGGGGGGGGGGGGGGGGGGGTCTGTAGCCTTGATCATCTGTTTTCACCTTCCTCTGGCAACCTCTCTATCTGACTTGCTCTATTTCTCTCTCTCTGTCTCGCTGTCTCTCTGTCTCTCTCTCGCTATAGAGGACTACAGGAGGACAGCCTGCACCAGCCTTTTACAGTGTGTTGTGGAGAGGAGTCGGGGCGAGCGGGGAGAGGGAGAGGGAGGTGGCACAGCTGGATCAACTGACCAATCATGTCAAAGTAAGACATTCCTCACAAAAAGAGGCATCATCAATCCCCCCAATTTAGATCAAAGGGAGCTACAGGCTTCATTGTCTTGTCCAATCCCTTAGGTCAGAAAAAGGCATGCAAGCGTCGAGCCATTTCAATGGTGGTCTCCAGAATGATTGATAGTGCACTAAAAGTTTGCCAGGACTTCCTGGACAGCTTGGAACACAATGACATAGACATTGCCTTGGAAACACCGCCATCCCTAACAGAACAAGAGTGGCTGGAGTTCATCCACAATTACTACCTGGTTGTCCAGTGAGTACTCCATATAGTATGATCATTATGTGTCTCTGTCATGTCAGTACATGCATCTCTTTGTCAGTGTATCTTAGTGGCACTTCTCGCTCCCTCCCTCTCTCTCAGTGATGGTGTAGAGATAGAGGAGAGTGTTCACTATGTGAACAGCTGTCAGGCTATGTTGCGGAAGCTTCGTGATGTCAGTCCACAGCTAGACACAGACGGCATCCACAACATCTGGATCGTCAAACCTGGGGCCAAGTCCCGGGGCAGAGGTGAGTTCAAAGAGGGGAAGAAGAGATGCTGTATCCTAATGCTGTATTTACCTATAATATTTATTTGATGCTGCTTATAGTGTAGGCCTACAGTAACTTCGTTTTTGTGTCCCTTCCATGTCCCTCCACCTGTGCAGGCATCATGTGTGCCAAGCGGCTGGATGATATCCTGAGGCTGGTGGACAGTGACCCAGCCCTGATCAAGGATAGTAAGTGGGTGGTGCAGAAGTACCTGGAGCGCCCCCTGCTGGTCCACGGCACCAAGTTCGACCTGCGCCAGTGGTTCCTGGTGACTGACTGGAACCCTCTCACTGTCTGGTTTTATAAGAAGTGCTACCTACGCTTCTCCACCCAGCCCTACTCAGTAGAGACACTGGACAGGTAAGGGGGGCATCTTTACCCTGTTGCTACTACATTTTACCATGTTGATACCACATTTCACCTTGTTGCTAATTTCCTATGGTCTCATCTCTCCTGTTCCCCTCTATATCCCCCTTCTGCCAGTTCTGTCCACCTGTGTAACAACTCCATCCAGAAGCACTTTCAGCCCTCCCAGCAGCGTCACCCAGAGGTGCCTGAGGACAACATGTGGTCATGTGACCAGTTCCTGGCCTTCCTGTCTGGACAGGGCCGAGCAGCACAGTGGGGGTCTGTGGTGGTCCCGGGGATGAAGAAGGCTGTGGTCCATGCCCTGCAAACTGCCCAGGACCTGGTGGAGTCACGCCGAGGGAGCTTCGAACTCTACGGAGCCGACTTCATGCTAGGTGTGAATTATGTCACTTAGTTGCATCAGTATTTGTTTTTGTTGGCAGTGAAGTTCAAGTTTTGTTGTCACATGCACAAGTACAGTGAAATACTTAACTTGCAAGCTCTACCCAAAAGTGCAGTAATCCATCAATATCAAAATAGTATAACTAATTAAAATATATATATATACGGTGGCTTCAGAAAGTATTCATACCCCTTGACTTATTCCACATTTTGTTGTGTTACAGCCTGAATTCAAAATTGATTAAATATAATTTTTTCTCACCCATCTACACACAATACCCCATAATGGCAGTGAAAACATGTTTTTCAAAACGTTTATATAAGTATTCACACCCCTGAGTCAATAATAATAATAATAATAATAATATGCCATTTAGCAGACGCTTTTATCCAAAGTGACTTACAGTCATGCGTGCATACATTTTTGTGTATGGGTGGTCCCGGGGATCGAACCCACTACCCTGGCGTTACAAGCGCCGTGCTCTACCAGCTGAGCTACTTTGTAGAAGCATCTTTGGCAGCGATTACAGCTGTGAGTCTGTCTGGGTAAGTCTCTAAGAGCGTTCCACACCTGGATTGTGCAACATTTGCCCATTATTCTTTTCAGAATTCTTCAAGCTCTGGCAAATTGGTTGTTGATCATTGCTAAACAACCATTTTCAGGTCTTGCCATAGAGTTTCAAGTAGATTTAAGTCAAAACTGTAACTCGGCCACTCAGGAACATTCACTATCTTCTAGGTAAACAACTCCAGTGTAGATTTGGCCTTGTGTTTTAGATTATTGTCCTGCTGAAATGTGAATTCATATCCCAGTGTCTGGTGGAAAGTAGACTGAACCTGGTTTCCACTAGGATTTTGCCTGTGCTTTATCTCTATTCCGTTTCTTTTTTATCCTGATTTTTTATATATATTTTTTAAATAAAAAATGTATGGGATGGAGATGAGTACTTTGCTTACAAAGAAGACAGTGAATGTTCCTGAGTGGCCGAGTTACAGTTTTGTCTTAAATCTGCTTGAAAATCTATGGCAATAATTGCTTTCTAGCCATGATCCCCAACATCTTGACAGAGCTTGAATAATGTGTTTAAGAATAATGGTCAAATATTGCACAATCCAGGTGTGCAAAGCTCTTATAGACTTACCCAAGAAGACTCACAGCTGTAATCAATGCCAAATGTGTTTCTAACATGTATTGAAGACTATATTTTAGTTTTAAAAAATGAATTTTTCTTCAACTTTGACATTTGAGTATTTTGTGTAGATTGTTGACAAAAAAATGAGAAATAAATTTTAATCCCACTTTGTAACAATAAAATGTGAAGAAATCCAAGGGGTCTGAATACTTTTGCAAGGCACTGTACATGTAAACAGGCGTAATAGTGACCAGTAGCAGGATAAATAGGTAGATACTAATATGGTGGGACATCTTCTGTTCCAAAGGTCGTGACCTAAGGCCATGGCTGATTGAGATCAATGCCAGCCCCACCATGGCCCCCTCTACAGCAGTGACAACACGCCTGTGTGCGGCCGTGCAGGAGGACACTCTCCGGGTGGTCCTGGACCGTCGCCTGGACCGAGGGTCACACACTGGGGGCTTTCAGCTTATATACAAACAGGTTAGGTGTGTTGGTGTGTGTGCCTTTTAGTTGGAAAGGGAAGTTTAATGTACCCCTGAATAAGAGGTTGTACAGATGTTTCTCTTTCTCTCTCTCTCTCTCTCTCTCTCTGTCTTTGTCTCTGTCTATAGGCAGCAGTGGAGGTGCCTCAGTATGTAGGGGTCAACCTGCTTGTTGAGGGCTCCCAGATCAGACGGCCCCGCCCTCCTCAAAAAGCCTACAAATCCTCTAAGTGTCGTACCAACCAACCAGCGCCCAGACGCCCACATCAAAGCAAGGAGAACGAGGCTGTGGCAGAGAAAACCAAGCCGGCCCCTTCTAAGAAGGGTCTGAAGGCTGAGGTACGACACCTCACCTTCTCTGGCATCAGAATCCAGACCCCACCTTCTACTGAGAGGCCCCTGGCCGGGGAGTCCTGGAGGCTGCAGCGTCTGGGCCTGGGCCTGGTTGACTCCCTCCAGCTGCCCCCTAGGGCCCAGTCCCGCTCCATGGACTGCTGGCGGAGACCCCAGGTTATTGTGCCCTGGTCAGGGCGAGCACGCCCCTTTGCTGCCCCTGATATCTACAAAGGCCCTGTCCTTCCCCTGGATGTCGTCAGCCTTCAAGACCCAGACAGGGAGCCCAGTGCCCTGCTTGTGCCAGCTCCTCTGGTCCCCCATGCTGAGTTCAGGTTCCAGAAGTTTCTCAGGCAACAGAACCTCCACCGTAGGGTGATAAGGACCGCATGTGTAGGGAGAGGAACTCACAAGAGCTCATGATGGGTTATGGATGGGTTATTGAACCATTCACTGACTGCTGCCTGATTTTGAAAGCTGTCTTTTTGCACTCAGCCATTGTAGGCCTACCTCATCATAATAAAGTCCATATTGAATCCACTTACATTTTCAGTCTTGGTATGTTTTGCATTTCTGTATTTCCCTTTATACTGCTGTCATTTATTAAGATAACTGTGTACTGTAGTCTTTTTGTCCAACTTGGAAACCTGGTCTCAGAGCATTTCGTATTATTCTGTACTAAATCTGAGAGGCTCCATTTAGTATGTGTTACGTTTCATATGGTATGTATTAACTTATGGATGTCCATCACCCATTTCGTATGATATGTTACGAATTACAATTCGTATTATACTTTACTTATTATACGCTACGAATATGCGCAGCGTACAATATGTTATGAATTTGCTAAATGTATGATATGTTACGAGTTCTAGCTAGGTGGCTAATGTTAGTTAGCTGGCTAACGTTAGCTAGGCTAGGGGTTATGGTTAAGGTTAGGAGTTAGGGGAAGGGTTAGCTAAAAGGGTTAAATGGGAGGGTTAGCTAAAATGGTTAGGCTTAGCTAACATGCTAAGTAGTTGCAAAGTATCTAAAAACTAGTCAAAGCTGCTAATGAGCTAAAATGCTAAAGTTGTCCATGATGAGACCCGTCATTCATGGCAGGTGGGGCATTTTTTGCTAAATAAAAAAATTAAATTGGGGGGGGGGTTGCCTGTTTTGCATGTTATCTTAGCATTAATACGTGTCACATATCAGCTTGCAAACAATGTAAAAAAATTAATAATAATAATAGAGTTAATAAAGCCACATACAAACATCAAACTCTTTTTTGCTTTCTTGAGTAAGGCAGCTCCAAAATGCAGGTGTTTCAGCCTAGCTCAGTGCTTTCTGTGGTAGTGGGGCTGCCAGCGGAAAATACGGAGCGTAGGGGTTGGTAATGTTATCTAGTTGCGCTGTGATTGGCTCAGTGTTCTGTCACTCATGGGGACACTACATCACCGCCAAATCTAAGGGTAGAGCTAGAAAATTCAAGCCCCTTGGGTGCTGCCATAGAGTTACATTAGAAGTGCCCATCCAAGAAGGCTCAAGGTCATTGGCCACAGATACAATGATGTCAAATCACGTTATATCTACAGTAGCTTTGATTGGACTGATCATGTCAACATCATACTTTCAAAATCTTAGCTTGCAGTCATCATCATGAATCAAGTCGACAATCTACTGGCAAATCCTTTTTAAACCTTGTCATATGAAGAGGAATAATGAAGAGAAATCATAGATAAAACGTATCAGTGCTCATTGGACATAAACATTACACAACAAGTTGGAAATCGCAAATTCAACAATGAGTGGTTTGGAAGGAATCAGTGGCTAACTGTAAGCATTGCAAAGCAATCACTAGCCTGCTATTCAGTGGAGTGCCTGTGTGGTCCCAAGTCTGGGTTTAATGGTCTCTTTTCCAAGTTTAAAATGATAAACATTCAATATTGGCCATGCTGTCAATCCAGCATGATTTCTGCCACACTCAAAACAACTGTTAACTCCGAACTGGGAAATCTGACTTCAGTGAGTTCAAGACAACTAGGAACTCTGGAAAAAAAACGAGCTCCGAAGGGGAAAATACGTTTTGAACAGTCATCCAACTCGGAATTGTAAGTCGGGAATTTGGGCCTCTTTCTAGAGCTACGATCTGAAGATCACTGACGTCATCATGATTCGAACTTGTTTTTTTCCGAGTTCCCAGTTGTCTTGAAAGCAACATAAATCCAGAGAATGACAGACTTTGATGACAACATTTGCCCACGAAGGACCGCCGCGCCACCTTCCTGTTCAAGTGAGCACAGCACAACAAGGTGAGTCCAAAAATGTATTGTTTGCTGCTGCATAAATGATGTAATATGCCAGGGAGATATGTATACTGTAGCTAAGAAATTAATACTAAGTGTATGTTGTGTAGTAAACTGTTAGTAGCCCATGTGCCTCACCCTAATAATTTGGTATATTTTCCCCTCTTAATTTCGCCTACTGTTCTGACTTGGTGGTGCACATGTAGCCTACAACCTATTTTAGAGAAATGTAATCATCGAATATTGTAAGAGCTTTCATTGTCTTCTTATATGCCCCCTTTATTTATCATACGGGGAGAATGCTATCAGAACGGCCCATGTTCTGAATTCTGTCGCTGTACATTTCAAAAGTGCTGAACAAATAAGTTATATTGACTACGTCCGTCCTAGCCTGCTCATTAATGCCTTAATCGAAATTACGGATTGCCTCTTATCTGCTTGTCGTCCCCTTATGCCATAGTTTGTACATCTCAATTGTCAGTAGAAACCACATTTGTTTAAGCAAGTCAGCCATATCAGCTATGTTTTTTTTAAAGGCAGTAAATGAAGCTGAATGAACTGTTTCGCTGCCAGATAAGGCTCTGCTGATAGCCAGGTGTAGCAGTGGTAAGGTGTTCGGACTGCTGTTGGGACAGCTTTATGTAGGCCCTAACCGTTTGTCACCATTATAGTGCAATTAATGTATTGTTTAATGTTGTGTTGTGCAGTGGCTTTGCTGGCACGCATCCCCATATATATATATTTTAATGCCTCACCAAGATTGACATGCTAAAATCATCACTGAACATAACACATCATACTAATTTGAGTGTCCCGGTTTTACTATGGTACGTCTAGTCTATGAGACCTGGCTGAACTTGTTGGAAGTGCTGCTTGAGTGAATGGTGGGAAGCGCCGACGTCACAGTTTTATGCACGTCTTGGGCGTCCACGTTGGGGAACGAGTTTTCTGTATTTGCAGGAAAAGATGGCAGCGTCCGTGTGCCGAGTCGGTAGCACTGTGGGTCGAGCCCTCGCCAAAGCCCGTAGCGTAAGTATTCAGGAACATCTTGGTATTTGAGGGGTCTGTAAGGATGTTAGAATAATGACGTTGTTGGTTGGGATCTGCATTTTCTTCACGTCGGCAACTTTTATTGAAAAGTAGGCATCTGTAGCTAGCGCTAACCAGCTTACTTGTATGTAGCTAACATTGGTAACGTTATGTAACCAGAGCACTGATGGCTAGCCGGTTAGCATTAGCTTGGAGTTAGCGCAAGGTCAACTCACTGTCAGCAAAGGCGCAATGTCTCACTGTAGAAACCGTAATATGAGTGGGAATGTTGACATCCATGTTTAACACTTTAGTCAACCTATACCTGCGTTGCTTTATTCGCTTTTAAAAACTAACAAGGTCATTTTGACCATCCTTCCGCGTTGTCCTTAATATTTGCCCTAATGTTAACCAGTTAGCTAACCAGCTACCTAACGTTACCTCTGTCTTGTCCAACTGGATGCTGTCTGACAGTAGTTGACCAGTTGCGTTGCTAACTCTGGTAATGAAGTTCCACTGACTTTAGCTAGTATGTTAAATTTAACTCGCTACATAGCTAGTCATTAATTATGTGACCTCAGTTTCCTTTGACTTCAAACTGTGGTGTCGGGCTGCTTGGCTAGCTAGTTAGTGGGTGAAGTGTTGTTGGTGGACCCTCAGTAAAGATACAAATATCCCCTCCTTACCTCCAACTTATTAGTAGCTCAGTTGGTAGAGCATGGCGCTTGCAACGCCAGGGTTGTGGGTTCGTTTCCCACGGGGGGCCAGTATGAAAATGTATGCACTCACTAACTGTAAGTCGCTCTGGATAAGAGCGTCTGCTAAATGACTAAAATGTTGAGAAATCTCTTGTCAGAGCCATACAGTGTTGTAGGCTAACTATCCTCTTCCTCTCTCCAGCCCATCCTGCTGTCTCTGCGGCGTGGCCAGGCTACGGTGACCTACGCCCAGAGCCTTCTGGGAGCTCCTGAGACCCGCCTCACTGCCCTGGACAATGGCCTGAGGATCGCATCGGAGGAGACCGGACACAGCACATGCACTGTAAGGACCTGCTGTCATTGATCATACAATCCAAGTACTCATCTTGATGGATTTGGGTAACATTGCCTAGTAAAGGCATTTACTTAGTCACATTTCAGATGAACCTGACTATTTGTTGGCGCGGCATAGTATCTAGCTAAGTTCCACCTCTGTCTCTCAGGTTGGGCTGTGGATCGGCTGTGGAAGTCGCTATGAGACTGAGAAGAACAATGGAGCTGGGTTCTTCCTGGAGCACATGGCTTTCAAGGTACACAACAGCCCTGACATCTGGGCAATCTACCTTCAGTCTCACAAGGGGCTAAACGCTTACTTTACTACTGCACCAGACTGGCCCAAAACGGTTTCTCTTACACCCCCCCCCGTCCCCCCCCCCCCGTCCCTTTCCCCTTGTTTCTTTTCCCCAGGGGACAAAGAAGCACACCCAGATGGCCCTGGAGCAGCAGGTAGAGTCCATGGGCGCTCACCTAAGTGCGTACACTTCCCGAGAGCACACTGCCTACTACATGAAGACCCTGGCCAAAGACCTGCCCAAAGGTGAGCCATACTACCCAGCATAGCAGACACTTCAATGAGGCAGGGTTAAGGCATGGAGACTGTTTATAGTGTGTATATGGGTTCTTATAAGCCCTTCTAGTTCCACAGAGGTTGGGTGAGTGTGTTTGTGTGTCTAGTTGTAAAGCTCCTGTTTCCTTTTGGTAAATTAGTTTCCCATGCCTGTGTTGAACTTCAATTCCCATGGTCTCCAGTAGTCCTTGTCGATTGCTATGTATACTGAAGTGCTCCTCTCTCCAGCGGTGGAGCTGTTGTCAGAGGTAGTGCAGAGCAATGCCCTGAGCGAGGCTGACATTGAGCAGCAGAGGAGTGTCGTGCTGAGAGAGCTGGAGGAGGTGGAGGGCAGTCTGCAGGACGTGTGTCTGGACCTGCTGCACGCCACAGCTTTCCAGGGTACCCCCCTGGGACACAGTGTGCTGGGACCGTCCCAAAACGCCAGGTACACACACAGAGAGCCTACCAGGGAATCCTATTGTGTCAGAGCATGCTAGGGCCAAACCAAAACACCAGGGAAACTCACACATACACATGTTATAGAATCCTGTTACATTTCACAGCACTCCTAGTTAGTTGAGCAGTAAAGGTCTGTCTCTTCCCTTCAGGACTTTGAGTCGACAGGATCTGGTAGATTTCATCAGGAGCCACTACAAGGCCCCCCGCATGGTGCTGGCAGCTGCTGGAGGTATGTCTCCCATACATCAACACTGCCATGTTAAGGCTGTATATAGAGGTATTACATGCCAATACCAACCGGCCCTGATTGTTTATTTTATTTTATTTGAGTGTAATGGTTGTCTGTGTTTGTAATGGCTCACTGCCTGTCTCCTGTGTAGGTGTGACTCATGAGGAGCTGGTTGGGTTGGCCAAACAGCACTTTAGCGGAGTTTCCTTTGAGTACGAGGATGATGCCGTGCCTGTTCTGTCCCCCTGCCGCTTCTCTGGCAGCGAGGTGAGGAGCGCTCGTGTCTCAATGTGTGTGTCCGAATTGACAGATGTCTGAACAAGGGCACAGGTATCCCATCAGAGCTTTTCTTATTTTTTCGATTTGGAATGTTAATATGTTGTCTCCTCTCTCCCTCTGTAGATCCGCATGCGTGATGATGATATGCCCCTTGCACACATTGCTATCGCAGTGGAGGGTGCCAGTGCCGCCAGCCGAGACATCGTGCCTCTCATGGTGGCCAACTCCATCATTGGAAGCTATGACATCACTTTCGGTGGTGGAAAGCACCTGAGCAGCCGCCTTGCTCGTCTGGCCTCAGAGGAGAGTCTGTGCCACAGCTTCCAGGCCTTCCACTCCTCCTACAGCGACACTGGTCTGCTGGGCATCTACTTTGTCACCGACAAACACCACATCGATGACATGATGCACTGGTCACAGAACGCTTGGTTAGTCGTGATTTCCAATAGATACACTTAAACACTACACATGGATACACTCCTGGTCCAACAACTTATCCTCAGTCTGTGTAATTTTTACATATTTAATTTGATGGTATTGACACTCCCTTGTTTTCTTTCTCTCTACCTGAAGGATGAACTTGTGCACCACAGTGACAGAGAGTGATGTTGCCAGAGCCAAGAACGCCCTCAAGGCCAGCCTGGTGGGACAGCTCGATGGTAAGAGCTCTACCTCCTCACAGAAATACCTCTCCCTGTTCAACACTAACACTGCCGTACTGCTCTCGTGTAGGAACGACGCCGATATGTGATGACATCGGCAGGCACGTCCTGAACTATGGCCGCCGTATCCCTCTGGCCGAGTGGGACGGCCGCATCGATGTGAGTACAACCCCCTTCCATGCACCACATATACAGCTGTTACACCTCCCCTACCACCTAGAGCAGTGGTTGCACGTACTGCCAAATTCTCTAAAACGACGTTGGTAGAGAAATGAACATTAAATTCACTTGCAACAGCTCTGGTGGAAATTCCTGCAGTCAGCATGCCAATTGTACGCTCCCTCAACTTGAGACATCTGTGGCATTGTGTTGTGTGACAAAACTGCACATTTTGCGTTCATATTTTTGTTCAATATATATATTTTTGCCGACCCCACTGCAGTTCCCCCATATCCCGACTTTGAATACCATTGATCTAGAGGGTGCTCTTTCTGTGCCTCTCTGATCTCACTCTTTCTCCCCCCACCCCCTACTGCATTCACCCCACATTTTTCTCACCACCTCTCTCTCCCCCCGTCTCCCCCTCAGGCTGTGACGCCCAGGATGGTGCGTGACGTCTGCTCCAAATACATCTATGACAAGTGTCCCGCTGTGTCTGCTGTTGGTAAGTTACCACACATCAGTATTCCTTCCAAGCAGCCTTTGCACCTTAATCCACTTGCCAGGATAAAGAAAGCACATAGTTTGAAAGTCCAGCTAGTGGCTACCTAGCTTGCTAATGTTCTGATTCCTCAAGCCTTCTCTCATCTCGTCTTACTGTCTTTTTCACTCTGTTCCACAGGCCCCGTTGAGCAGCTGCCTGACTACAACAGAATGCGCAGTGCCATGTACTGGCTCCGCTTCTAAGAACCCGATAGTGTTGCTCTCTGCGTGTCCGATTTCTGCTCTTCCTTTCACTCTCCTCCACTCCCTTACTCCTCCCATCACTGCAAGAGTGAAGAACTGAGGACTGCCTCAGCTCATCAGCACAGACCTGTATCTGCACCATCAAAGGTCCTGCTCCTCCATCTCTCTCTCGCACCCCCCTCTCCTCCTGCTACATTAGTTCTAGTTGGTTATGAGGGAAAGAACCACTGTGTTGAGGGTGTGAATAAGTTCTGAGTGTTCTGTTTCCCTGTAATTATCAATAATTACCTCTCGAGAAAGATTGTATTACGGAAGATTCTTGTTAATATCACTGAGCCTTTTCATGCACCTGGTACTGTTCTGAGGAAGGGGAAGAGAGGGGGTCACCTGAACACATTCAGTCATACATATACAGTCAAATCAGGGCACTGTACAACCAGTTAATGTGGAGCAGAAGTATTTATGAATTGATGTAACATTTTGTTTCTGTCCTATTGTACATAACAGAAGCTCTCATAACGACAAATTCAAATAAAACATTGTAAAATACTTAGTTTTTGAGTCATTGTCCCACACACATAGAATTAGATTAGTAAGACTTAACATGTTATGATCTATCCTTGTTTTGTAGTTGACAAACATGTTTAGCATCTCTAAGCCTACAAGCCACTTTGGAACATTACATAAAAAAAAAAAAAAGTCTAATAAATCCATTTTAATATACACCATCACAATGAATCCATTATTTTAGGTAGGTCTAAAGAAACATGATATGAAGAATATGTATTTCAGAAGAATAGAATATGAGTCTGCATACTGTATGTTATCTGGCTATGCGCCATGCTGTAGGCTAGTTCATGTAGCAGACAACATATGCTTAAGACATTGTGTGTGGAGGGGGGTTTATAAGCTGACATGGAATTGTTTTAAGATGGTCATACCATGGCTCATTTAGCTATTTGATTTTCAATTTTGGGACCCCTTTAGGTATGAATAATATATCAAAAAAAACATTTGCTACGCTATTGAAATGGCCTTTAGTACCAAATCCCATAGAAACGCATTGAATAACATTCATAAATTACAAAAAAAGACAAGTCAAAAAATAAATCATCAGGAATAAGGTTTTGAAGTGACTGCCCTATATCTAGGAGATAAAAGAAAGCTCAGGAAATATATATTTTATTTTACACATATTTAACCCCTTTTTTTGGTGAGGCACAAAACTTCCTCCATACTTCCATTCATTTTTTAAAAACCAGTACCAATTACCTTCAGTGTTCGTGAGAGACTACCAGTCTCTTCTTTCCATAGAATGCAGCTAGCTAGTTTAGTCTACTCAAACACCTGGCTCAAACAGAGAGGGATGCTATGTTAGTTAGCTGTCCAACACTGGAACTCTTATGAAAGTGAACTGTGTTTGCGGTGATCAGGGGTGTATTCATTTTGCCGATTCTGTTGAAAAACATTTCTTAAACGGAAGCAAATGGAACGAAACAGGGATAAACGTACCTTAATTTGTTCAATAGAAACTCTTGTTTGCAACTGTTGGACTAATGATTACACCCTAGATCAGCTAGATGCAGGCAAGAGTGTGCAAGGCGGTATTGAATGTGTCACTGTCTGCCACCTTGATTACTCACATTTTTCTCTCGACCTGTGCACCTACATTGTAAACTTTCATTCGTAGGTTGTAGCAACCTCATGATGGTATAGCGGTATTGTTAGAGAGGGGTAAAGATAAAGATTTTGGGAAAGATATAGGGAAAATTTGAGTGTCATGTAGTAGCCTAAACTTATCGATGTTACATTGAGCTGGGTGAATGGAATATGAATGACAGTCATCCAATATACTGTAATAGAAATAAGGCCATGCTCATTCAAAAAAATATTATCCTCCCTCATCTTAAACGGCACAGACCGCCACTGATATACAGTACATTCTGACATTATTCAGACCCCTTCACTTTTTCCACATTTTGTTGCGTTACAGCCTTATTCTAAAATGGATTCAATAACAAATCCTCATTTTGGCAGTGCATGTCAGAGCAAAAACCAAGCCATTATGTCGAAGGAATTGTCCGTAGAGCTCCGAGACAGGATTGTGTCGAGGCACAGATCTGGGGAAGGGTACCAAAAAATGTCTGCAGCATTGAAGGTCCCCGAGAACACAGTGGCCTTGGTCAGGGGGGGTGACCAAGAACCCAATGGTCACTCTAACAGAGCTCCAGAGTTCCTCTGTGGAGATGGGAGAACCTTCCAGAAGGACAACCATCTCTGCAACACTCCACCAATCAGGCCTTAATGGTAGAGTGGCCAGACGGAAGCCACTCCTCAGTAAAAGGCACATGACTGCCCGTTTGCCAAAAGGCACCTAAAGGGCTCTCAGACCATGAAAAACAAGATTCTCTGGTATGATGAAACCAAGATTGAACTCTTTGGCCTGAATGCCAAGCGTCATGTCTGGAGGAAACCAGGCACCTCAGGAGTGGCTTCGGGACAAGTCTCTGAATGTCCTTGAGTGGCCCAGTCAGAGCCCGGACTTGAACCCGATCGAACATCTCTGGAGAGACCTGAAAATAGCTGTGCAGCGATGCTCCCCATCCAACCTGACAGAGCATGAGAGGATCTGCAGAGAAGAATGGGAGAAACTCACCAAATACAGGTGTGTGAAGCTTCTAGCGTCATACCCAAGAAGACTCAGGGCTGTAATCGCTGCCAAAGGTGCTTCAACAAAGTACTGAGTAAAGGGTCTGAATACTTATGTAAATGTGATATCAGTTATTTATTTTATTTTGCAAAACAATTTGAAAACCTGTGTTTGCTTGGTCATTATGGGGTATTGTGTGTATATTGATGAGGGGGAAAAAACAATTTAATCAATTTTAGAATAAGGCTGTAATGTAACAAAATGTGGAAGGGGTCTGAATACTTTCCAAATGCACTGTATGCATAACACCATCAGCTTGGGCAGGATCAGATGGATGGAGACATGTCAGGACCAGAGATGTTTCTGTTGTACAACACTTCTTTACAGAAGACTGGACTTCTAATTTACACTTCAGTGAAGGACTCACTAACGGATGTTTGGTCCAGATTATTTTATTTATTGATAATACCAGAGTTGACTATGCCGACATCCCTTGATATGTCCCCTGATGCAGTGTAAATTCTTTTTTTACACAGCTGCTACTGGCGAAAGAAAAGAGGAAACTGAAATGCAGATGAACAAACACGCTCCCTTACCCTCATCTCCCTTTATTTGTGCTTCAACTCCCCCCTCTCTAACTGTATCTCCCCGTATCCCCTTTTCCCGTATACTGTACATGCCACTAGGAAAGGTCAACAATATTGGACCACTATTTACCTGCTCCTGAGACGGTAAATCTACTATCTCTGCCTGTTCTCACTCCAGATATGACTAGCTGTATGGCTAAACCAAACCTGAACCCTTCCCGCAACCTAACCATTCCATGCCCAAAACAAAAAATATCAACATGTAATCTGTGAGCATGTTCTTCAAATCAGTCATCTCCAGGAACAGAACACAGTTTAGCTCATGTCTGGATGGTTAGTCAGATAAATTAATTAATTACTGATGAGTTGTGGACAAATAGCAGGCAAACAGCTCATTGGGGTTATCTTGTTTGGCATATACATGAATAAAGCCTATTTAAAGAATCATTGTCAAACCCCGAGCTGTGTAAGGACACACAAGTCTGTTCCTGAATGATATGGACATTGTGACGTAATCTCACATCCCTATGAGGACATCATCATGTATGCTCTTATCTATGCCAGTGGTTTTCAACCTGTGGTCCACGGGGGAATGTTTTTATTTTGTCTAATTATTTTCTTCAAACAATAACAATAGTTGGGAGTATTAGTATTAACAGTCTTATAAGCTATTTTATCTTACTTTTCACAATGAAAATATTGTAGTTTATAATAATAATAATAATAATAATAATAATACACCATTAATCTGTTATCGTCACTGATAAAATTGACTAAATTTAGGTTGGGAACCGCTGATCTATGACTGGGTCTGCTGGTGGAACTCTTGATATTCTTTCTGGGGGTCAGAATTAGGTTCAAGCCGTCTCTATTTCAGGCTGTTCCTTTCTGTGGGTACAGAGACTAGGGGCTAGCTTATGTATCGCCTCCACTTATCTGACTACGATGTATGATGCGTACATGACCTCCATACAGGGGTCACTGACTGAGGCGGGGCCTTGTCTCTGTGGCCCTCAGGGTCCAGTCCCTTGGCTCAGGCTGTGTAAGTAAGACCATGGTTATCATTAGTCAGATGAGGATAATGTCTTGATGGGCTAGAGGTCACAAAGGAAACGAGAGGCTTGTCTTCCTCTCTCTTCCTTCCGTGGACAGCTACTTCCCCTTTTCCCTCTTCCTGAGGACTTTCTCTCCAGCGGCTTTTCTCTCTATCCCTCTTTTTTAGTTCGGAGTGGCTGCGGTTCTGGATTTTCTGGAATCTGACTTGCCGTGGCTAAAGATTTCTGCGCATGTGCGCATGCAGGTGCTGCTGCTGCTTCACCGATGAACGCATTTGTCTGGTGTAGCCTATAAAACGTCATGTGCACAAAGGACATGGTCGACACGTTCAAACTATTGCATTCTATGCCTTAGTAGGCTATTAAGCATAAGCGCAATTTAATGTTGTTTTTTTTTCAGGAGGAGAGAGGCTCCATGCAGTTACAGGTAACTGCCAAAATAAACGAAACACCATCATAAAGTGTCTTAATAGGGCGTTGGGCCACCACGAGCCAGAACAGCTTCAATGCAGCTTGGCATAGATTCTACACGTCTGGAACTCTATTGGAGGGATGTGACACCATTTTTCCACAACAAAATTCCATAATTTGGTGTTTTGTTGATGGTGGTGCCGTCGTGGCAGACGCTGTCTCAGGCGCCACTCCAGAATATCCCGTAAGTCTTCAATTGGGTTGAGATCTGGTTGGTGACTGAGACGGCCATAGTATATGGTTTACATTGTTTTAATGCTCAAACCATTCAGTGACCACTCGTGCCCTGTGGATGGGGACATTGTCATCCTATGGGGGCTTAGATGTGGTAGCCAAAATGGCCTGCCCAGCATTTTTATACATGACCCTAAGTATGAGGAGATGCTAATTGCTTAATTAATTAACTCAGGAACCACACCTGTGTGTCACGCCCTGACTCAGGGGACTCTTATATGTTGAGTCAGGGTGTGTATATTCTTTGTTGTGTATGTTCTATGTTGTATTATCTAGTATGTGTAGATCTATGTTGGCCGGTGTGGTTCCCAATCAGAGGCAGCTGTAGCTCGTTGTCTCTGATTGGGGATCATACTTAGGCAGCCTATTGGCACTAGTGGGTGACACTGTGTGGAAGCACCTGCTTTCAATATACTTTGTTTCCCTCATTTACTCAAGCGTTTCCATTATTTTGGCAGTTACCTGTATTTTATATGTTGTGCACAAAAGACATGATCAACATGTTCGCACAAACTCGCAGATAGTTTTTTGCCCCAATGCAAAACTCAAGTGGGGAGTTACATGCAGCTATCTAGGCAGCATATCAAACACAAACAAGACAAAGACACATTTTACATTTACATTTACGTCATTTAGCAGACGCTCTTATCCAGAGCGACTTACAAATTGGTGCATTCACCCTATAGCCAGTGGGATAACCACTTTACAATTTTTTTTTGTTTTTCTTTCTTTATTTTTTTAGGGGGGGGTAGAAGGATTACTTTATCCTATCCCAGGTATTCCTTAAAGAGGTGGACACAGTCTAATTAGCAATTTAATGTTATTTTCGAGTCATCATTGCAAACATTGGTTAAGCAGGAGGCAGACAGGCAGTCAAAGTAGTAGTGTTCTTTTTCAGCAACTCTGGCTAATGCCTACGATATGGTAGCAACTACAAAGATTAGCCTAACTCATCACATTAAACGCAGATTGTGTTTGCTCCAATTCAATGTCAAAACTTTGTATTCGCAGCCACAGCCTTTTTTGTTTCTCCTCTTTCTTCTTCACGTGCTATCGGTACTGGTGCAGTTCTAGACAGGGATGATAAATGGGTCAACACGTACTGAACACACACCCAAGACATTGGTAATTGATCCGTTGATCTCATTGATAGATTGATTAACTCAGCTACAGTGAAACCCTAGTTGCATACACCCTCCAGTTTACTGTTGGCAGGACTGACAGACGGAATCTGTCAGTAGAATGGCTTTGCTGTCACAGCACTCAACAACACAATGATCATGAGTGGCAGGCAAAGTGCTGTGACAGGCGAATGGCCCTTCATGTGAAGTCAATCTGATCTGAGTAAAATAAATGACACTTTCACTTCTTCCACTCTGAAAATTAGATCATCACATGCAAAAGGCAAAATGTTAATCATGATAACTTCAAAATCAGATATAGGGATCTGCATTCAGTGTTCCAATTTTTTTAAAGACATTTGAACCAGATGTAGCAACCATAACCATAGTGTCGTCACTTGATACAGGTGGACCTAATGTTTAAGGATGTTGAAATGTTGTATCATAAAGAAAAAACACTTTGGTCGCCTCATAAAGTGTACAAAGCATTTTTGCATTTTCTCATACTGATCAAGAAAACTCAAAATACATGTGAATAATCTAGCATATCTAAAGCATGGTAAAATATGTGTTTATTATCTCTTTGTGAGAGATGATGGGGGTAATATCCAATCTAGACAGAGCCAAAATTGCAATTACCATCATGTTATTTTTAGACAAAGAGGGTGATAGCAAACAATGACAGAAAGGGAAATGAGACAAGATGAGAGGGGAGGGCAAGGGACGGAGAGATGTACAAGATAAACAGAGAGTAGGGGGAGAGGGAGATGTGACGGTGCAGTAACACGTGGACGATAGAGAGGGAGGACGGTAGAGTCTTGGGTAACGAGAGAGAAGTCCAGTTGAACATCTGTTCGTGCATTACAGTGGTCACTTCTTTACTTGCTGGGCAAAGACTGACTGAGAGATACAGAGAGAACCAGAAGAAAAACACTGCCACCACCCTGCATCTAAGAGGAACGGGACAAGTGCCTTTTGGGGACCTTACCACTCCTAAGTCGTGACATTGGGTAAGACCTTATTGCTGATGATTACATGTTTTATACTTTCCAAGGATGATCCACAACTTTCATAGTAAATGTGATTGTAAAAGGAACTCTAAGGAATGAGAATGTCTTTAATTATCAATTGGACCAAGTGTTGAATGGTCTGATGTACTCCAGAAATAGAGTTTGAAGGCCAAGGCAGAATTTCTACACTGATGTACCAAGTTAAGAATGTTTGGGAGTTAAGTAATCAGGTAGAACCACTGATATGTAAATATATCACAGTGGGTAACCATTAGTCATGGTAATTACATACCATGAAGGAAACATTAATGGTGTGCCATGCCATCATTACAAGGACCATGAGGGAACCATGCTATATTTAGAGCAAATGAACAAATCTGCCTCAAAATTGTATGATGATTTTCACTCTAAAGTTTCCTCTCCGCCTTTCCTCCCTCAGATCAACTGTGCTTACCATGTCAGGCATGCATCTGTGTCTGTGCCTGGCTCTGCTGCTGCCATGGTGCAGCCAGTGCCAGAGAACGGGCTCTGCCCCTGCCAAGCTGGGAGAAGAAGACACAGAAGGAGACCTGTTGGCTGTCAACATCGTAAACCGCAGTGGCATCCTGGGCCCTCTGCTCCCCCCAGAGTTCCATCCAACACTCCGGCAGACCAGAGCCTCACGCCCAGCCTCCCAGGTCTCCAAGAGAGCCCAGCAAGGGTCCCGCTTTGCCCTGTCCCTGGACGTGCCCACCAGCATCCTCAGTGTCCTCATAGACCTGGCCAAGAACCATGACATGAGAGCCAAGGCTGCTGCCAATGCAGAGCTGATGGCACGCATCGGCAAAAGGAAATAAGGGCTGGGGTCACATGGGCAAAGGCTAAGGGGGGCAATTCTCAACTCACCAGGGGGTGTGGGTTTTCAAAACCAGGTTGATGGATGGATAGGTTATGGGAAGGAAGTGTTATTATTAGAGGAAAAGACATCTTGAAGTCTTTAATGAGTTTAGCCCTTTATCTGTTTTATATTTCTATTGCATAATTCTTACCTCATTTTATGCCAAAAAGTTCCACTGACTGCCTGTACAGAAACATTATATAAAAATAATGATAGAATAAATTGTGCCAATTAAATGTCACTGATCAAATATAAGATGAAGCTGGTCTTTTGTCTCCACTACAGTTAGCAAAATGTACAATTTATGGGCAGTTAATCTTATGAAATAGTAATAGACAGGGAACCATTTGGAGTCTGTTTATTGTTTTTGTATGTGTAACAAATTAAGGAAAGGTTGGAAAATAAAATCAGATAATGTAACCTAATTTCTGTGTGTACCGCTTCCTTCTTCTGCATTGACGTCAGAGGTGTTTATTAATTACAAGCATCAGTAACCAATAAAGCACTAACGAATAAGTAATATGTGGTCCTCTGTAGCTCAGCTGGTAGAGCACGGCGCTTGTAACGCCAAGGTAGTGGGTTCGATCCCCGGGACCACCCATACACAAAAATGTATGCACGCACGACTGTAAGTCGCTTTGGATAAAAGCGTCTGCTAAATGGCATATTATATTATTATAATATTATAATATCACCCTGCATCATTCCCAACGGAAGACTGATAACAGGACTATGGCACAGGGAGGAAATTGACCTCAGAGACAGAGGCCCCTGTTAGAGATCATCCATTTAGTTGATTAATGCTTGATCCCAAGTCAATTGGCTAATTAAAACAGCAAGTCTGAGAGTAATTTTTTGTCACAGACCATTACTTAACTCAGATACATAAGCTAATTATTACAAATAAACATTAGTTTGCACTCCTGGAAATACTGGATGGTGTGCAGGTGGTACAGTTTGTGAGGTAATATGGTATACAAAATGCCTGAGATGATGGTGCCAATACAACACAATCATGTTCATCAAAGAATATGCTTATGAAGGAAATATAGCCTATGTCTTAAATTGTTCAATAAAGGTATACTATATATATATTTTTTTTAAAGTAGTGTCAGCACAATCTGTATGATTCCTATAGGCCAGGCCCATATCATATATTTTTGAAGAATACAATAAATGCCTTTTATGAGCCAACTGTCTAAGAATGTTTCACTCCCCATTTGGCTTCTGTTGTCATGTGTAGTCTACTACTACTACTACACTACCAACATAGACAACATAAGTTAGTTAACAGCTATTTTAAGAAATAGAAATGGATATTTGAAAAGAAAATACAGATGAGTCATTGAACCCTGGGCACTTTCCTGCATAACCGAAACCGCAGTTGACAGTTTATCATGTGGTCTACCATTTGTATACTACCCCAAAGCGGTCTGAGGTGCATCAGAGCGGTAGTGAATTGAGCAGTTTCTGTGCTTTGACAGGTCATAATTGAGATCACATTTGATAGCTTCGACGGCCGCGGGATCCCTTTGTTGCCCAGATGATGCAGTGCCCGACCAACAGCAGCCTCACAGGTGTTGCAAGGTTATTCGTCATTTTTCCACATGATTTCGTTATTCACACAAAGTTGGACGAAGCATTTATAAACCATGCAAAAATACCATAATTATTTTCGTGTTCATTTTTATGGTTACTCCCTGGTTAGTCTTGTCAAAACTACTAAAAACACATTTAGTGAATTTCAGCGTTTATAGCCTGTATGTTCAGCACAGTAGGCCTTGTTTTATCATGTGATTTAAACAGGTGCTGCCACTCACGGCTAGGTGGATTACACTCTGCAGACAGCCATAAGGAGAGGCTTTTTGACTCAAAGGAATACCAACAAGTAAGTTTGTGTGTTTCATTGTAAATTAGTAGATTTACATTTGCCCCATGACATTCAAAGAATTCATTGAAGATTTCTAAGTAGTAGGCCTAACGCAGCAGGAACCTGGTTTGCCCAGTAAATCACTATGGGAAAGTTACCTTTATATTAAAGATTCAGACTGCTCATCAATACCTCTTCAACAGAACATGCCAGGATGGTATATATTACATTTTGAATCGGCTGACGATAGCGAAGAAGCTACACCCCTTGGCAGATTCTCCGTGTACTCGCAGTTTAGGGACCGTCTTAAAAGTGCAATTGGAACCTACTGTTAACTGAAACTTCCAACAGTTTTGAAACCACATGACAGAACTCTCAAACCAACTTTAATAAGTTAAATGACCTATCCTCTCCAATCAACAGCAATTACATTTGTATTTTTTGACTGGCTAATTTTAATTGACTTTACATGTGAAAAATACTTCCTGAACTTCAATAGCTTCCACCCCATAATACTTTCATGGATACAACCAACTTTTATTGCTTCAGGGACTATATCACTAATCAACAGCAATTACTTTAGTATTTTTTTTACTTTGTCAATTTTTTAATTATTTTTAATTGAATTTACATCAATCAATCAATCAATTTTATTTTATATAGCCCTTCTTACATCAGCTAATATCTCGAAGTGCTGTGAAAAATAGAGAGATCCAAGGATGCCAGGGGTCGCCATTCCAGCCAGCCAGCACCCTGTCACCTAGGTCTCAGCCAGCCCTTCACACTTGCCTGGCTACCCAGACTCCTTGCTCCGGCCAAACGCTACACCATGCCCACAGACATTCGTTTTTTCTCCGCAATGAGTCTGGATCTGAGTACCTCCCTGATCCTTCACTGAATGCGAACACATTCGGGGCTGTCTGATTGGTCCAGGAACTGATGGGTTGGGCCAGAGCAAGAACACACGTGGTTAAATCGGCGGTTTGAAAATGTGTCATTGGCTTTGATACTCTTAATTGGTTAGAGACGATCCAATCGCTGATGACTTTGTTTTGTACAACCCCCCTCATGCCCCACATCACCACAACTGACTTAAATGATGGCAGTCTCAGACTAAAGTATGTAGCGAATGACCAAGCAGCAAAATAATTTAGTGTGAGTCGCCAGGCTACCTCGACACACCAGAGGCACAAAAAAAGGAGGACAGAGCCGCCAACCTCCAGAGGCTTCCTGCTCTGCCCCCCTGAAGGACAGTGTATGTCACTGTCGCCCAGTCCCAGCTCTAGGCCTCAGCCAGCCCTCCACACACCAGAGGCCCAGTAGACCAAAAAAAAGGGGCACAGAGCCACCAACCTCCAGAGGCTGCCTGCTCTGACCCCCTGAAGGACAGTGTCTCTCACATCTACTCACATGAGCCTTCTCCCTGGGGCCTACCTGACCTCCAGTCAGGCCCCCACTGACCTGGTGACCTCTCTGTGACTTGAGGCACCCCTGTCTGGGCTTCACTCCTGCCTCACCCTCCTTGGTCCTCTCTGGAGCACCAGACAGTCCCCCACTGACCAGGTGACCTCTTCCCCCACTCAAGCCACCCCTGTCTGTCCCTCACTGCTGCCTCACCCTTTCTGGAGCTCCACACCTTAGTCTGTGGAACTCCAGTGTAAGTCCAGACCTCCAGGCCCTACACTCCCTGCCCTCTCCCTGGGCCTGAGAGTCTAGCTTACTCCCTGGACCTCCAGGCCTCCACACTTCTCTCCCTACCCGGGCAACACCCCTCTCCCTGGACATCACCCATAACTGTATTCCGGTCGGGCTCATTCACCTCCAGATCCTCAAGAACCGGGGCGCCCGCACTTAAGCACCCACCACTAAGACCTTTATAGGCCCACTGCCAGGAACCACAGGCATCTGGTGTCCGAAACACGCTCTCTGAACCTGGTAACCTCCAACAGGTTACCAGGTTCAGTCCTCACTATACATTTGTGGTCAAAAGTTTTGAGAATTACACAAGTATTGGTCTTCACAAAGTTCGCTGCTTCAGTGTTATGAGATATTTTTGTCAGATGTTACTATGGTATACTGAAGTATAATTACAAGCATTCCATAAGTGTCAAAGGCTTTTATTGACAATTACATTAAGTTTATGCAAAGAGTCAATATTTGCAGTATTGACCCTTCTTTTTCAAGACCTCTGCAATCCGCCCTGGCATGCTGTCAATTAACTTCTGGGCCACATCCTGACTGATGGCAGCCCATTCTTGCATAATCAATGCTTGGAGTTTGTCAGAATTTGTGGGGTTTTGTTTGTCCACCCGCCTCTTGAGGATCGACCACAAGTTCTCAATGGGATTAAGGTCTGGGGAGTTTCCTGGCCATGGACCCAAAATGTCAATGTTTTGTTCCCCAAGCCACTTGGTTATCACTTTTGCCTTATGGCAAGGTGCTCCATCATGCTGGAAAAGGCATTGGTCGTCACCAAACTGTTCTTGGATGGTTGGTAGAAGTTGCTCTCGGAGGACGTGTTGGTACCATTCTTTATTCATGGCTGTGTTCTTAGGCAATAGTGTGAGTGAGCCCACTCCCTTGGCTGAGAAGCAACCTGGTGCTGCCCCTTTGCTGCCCTTCTTGACACCAGGCCATCCTCCAAAAGTCTTCACCTCACTGTGCGTGCTGATGCACTCACACCTGCCTGCTGCCATTCCTGAGCAAGCTCTGCACTGGTGGTGCCCCGATCCCGCAGTTGAATAAACTTTAGGAGACGGTCCTGGCGCTTGCTGGACTTTCTTGGGTGCCCTGACGCCTTCTTCACAACAATTGAACCTCTCTCCTTGAAGTTCTTGATGATCTGATAAATGGTTGATTTAGGTGCAATCTTACTAGCAGCAATATCCCTGCCGTGTTTCCTTGCAGGTAACCATGGTTAACAGAGGAAGAACAATGATTTCAAGCACCACTCTCTTTTTAAAGCTTCCAGTCTGTTAGTCTGTTGATCTCCAGCCTTGTCCTCGTCAACACTCACCTGTGTTAAAGAGAGAATCACTGACATGATGGCAGCTGGTCCTTTTGTGGCAGGGCTGAAATGCAGTGGAAATGTTTTTGGGGGATTAAGTTCATTTTCTTTT